CCACACGCAGGCACGGACACACGCACGCACACACACACACACACACACACACACACACACACGCGCACACACACACACACACACGCACGCACACACACACACACACACACACACACACACACACACACACACACACACACACACACACACGCACGCACACACACACACACACACACACACACACACACACACACACACACACACACACACACACGCGCGCGCACACGCACGCACGCACGCACACACACGCTCTCAGACATACACTCGCCACACACCCACATCTGTACCACCACGTGTAGGCCTATGCATCGCTACAGGGCTACGTGCAGAAGCTACCTCAGCAGTCGTACGCCGGAGCACGCGCACCGCAGCGGCACCCGTGCAGTCCGGGCTCGCAGGCGATGTCCGCCGATCTGCTCTCGTCTCGCGCCATGTGCTTCAACCCGGCGATGCTGGCCTCCTACCCACGGCTACCGACAGTGCCTGTGTACAGCCCGGAGCAGGGCTACGTGCCCGTGTACGCCGCCGACCCTGCCGCCGCTCTCTACCCACCCATGGTGAGTTACAACGCGTCTGTTACTATACCGTCGACTGCCACGCGCACAGGCATGGTGGAGTTGTCCACGCTGCAGAGTTTTCCTATCGACCGAGTGAGAGAGGCATATATAGCCAGAAGGCAGTGACAAAAAAGAGTTCTTTATATGACGCGTTCTAGCACAGAATCGAGGCGAGGTAACTCGTACAGCGGCGCGTATATGCACAAGCAGAGATTGTAATATCCCGGTGACACGCGAAGTAGCATGCGTAAACTGTAATTCGGAGTATGTGGAAACAAAAGCAATTTTTATATGCACCCTCAGTAATTATCCTTCGCTATTACAGCCAAGTATAAAAGAGAACGGTATGCGAGCAAGCGCTACTTTACAAATGCTCTATAAAGTCATAAAGCGTCATAAAGTCGCGTCGCGCCAGCATGCGCACGAACACGGAACAGTTAAACTATAATGTGATAACTGGCGCTGATCAAGCTCATTCATTACTATTATGTGCGTGCGTGCGTGCGTATGTGCGTGTGTGCGTGCGTACGTGCGTGCGCGTGTGTATGTTTGTGTGTGTGTGTGTGTGTGTGTGTGTGTGTGTGTGTGTGTGTGTGTGTGTGTGTGTGTGTGTGTGTGTGTGTGTGCGCGCGCGTGTGCGTGCGTGTGCGTGTGTGTATGCGTGCGTGCGTGCGTGTGTGTGCGCGCGCGCGTGTGTGTAGGGTTGTGTGGGAAAGTTGCTGTGTCGGATCGCTGACATATGTGGTCTGCGGCGATGATAGAACGATCATTTCCCCTGTGCATAAACTTGTTCGTTACTCTCAGCAGACGCCCATGCGGATGCACAAGCTCGCTCGCTACAGTCAAACACACATACACACACGCACGCACGCACGCACGCACGCACGCACACACGAACACACGCATATACACATACACACGTGCACGCACGCACACATACCCGCACGTACGTACGCAGGCACGGACACACACATGCACACACGGGTACTAAAATACATACACTCCCACGAACGCACTCTCATATGCAATATCACACATGCATACATAACATAAATGCGTGTACACATGCGCACGAACACGCGTACACACACACCTGGATGCACGCACGCGTACAGACACACACCTGGCCGCACGCTGACAATAACTGGCTAACAGTTGACTTTTCAAGAAATTATGCCAACACAGCCGCGCGCAGACGAACATGTGCGCACGAAAATACAAAAGCACGCGATAATCGCATCTGAAAAGAGTCGAGCTCGCTCGCTCTGTTGCTAAAATATCTCCCGCATTCCGTTAAAAAATATGCCATAGTCTGCCTGCATAGTCTGCCTGCATCGGGCGTTCGATCATCGCTCGGCCCAGGCGAATGTTTGTCGGTCATATTCCGCGCGCGTTCCACGTAAGTCAAACTCAACACAATCGGACGTGAACATCCTTCACGATCTGAATGCGCTGCGGCTCCCCCATAGAGCTGTTAACAACAACGTGAGATAAGATGTCTATATGTTTGTACGCTGCTGTCACATTCTTTTAGGGGTTTCATGGGAATGGGGATTTATCATAGCGAATTTGGCCTAGGGCAAGGCACACACACGTGGTCTATTCAGAAAGTTGGTGCGCAGCGCAACCGAACAGACTATATACGGTGCGCGAGTGGCAGGCATGCATGTACAGCGCGTATTTGACACGATTGGCGTAGGATTAAAGTCATAGATATGATACTCGTGCGTGAATTTAAGTGCAAACTGTAGCGCTCTCGACGATGCTCATCGTGACGAAATAGATCACGTTATATGTGCGCCATCTAGCTCTGATTACTCAGCGCGATCCTGCAATGTATATGGCAGCAACGATCTTTATACTTAACCTCATTATACCGCATCTCGCCTCACCCGCCTCTACCGCCAATAAGTGTACACACCACTAAACGTCTATACGATCGGAAACCAATGAACCGAATCTCGATATGCTAGAAGTATACAGCGTCTAGTAAACTTATACGGCCTTCATCGGCCCTGATTACCACACGGCGAGCTTCGGCACAACAACCGCCTGATTTACTGCGACAATAAACTTATAAATCATACATCAGGCACGCGAGAGATCGGATTCATAACGAGGCTATCATGATCACATATGGCTTCATGCCTATATATAGTCGGCAAGCGTAGATAGAGAGAACGCGTCAATGTTGGCGCGGTGAAACTGCAGCAGTTTGCCGCGTATAGGTAGCAGCAGCGAGATGTGTGTGTGTGTGTGTGTGTGTGTGTGTGTGTGTGTGTGTGTGTGTGTGTGTGTGTGTGTGTGTGTGTGTGTGTGTGTGTGTGTGTGTGTGTGTGTGTGTGT